AAACTGAGTAAGAATTTTTGAGGAACTTAGTGTACGGCAGAATTGATGACTCCTGAGATGACTAGGGCAAAAGGCTGCTTAGCCTACAACATTCATGGAAGTAAATTTCATTGAACCAGAAGCAGGACCTAGTCCAGTGTGAAGGGACCATGGACACTTTCTGTATTGTTACCCAGAACCTTTGGGACCGATCCACTAAGACTTCACACAAATGGCATGACAAGGAACTATTTATTAATTCTCTGTACAAAGCAAAGCCCAGGCACTTGGTTCCTCCCTTCTGGACTTCCATTTTGCTCCTGCAAGTTCTCTCTCACCATCAGATTAAACTCCTCAATATCCCTCCTCCGACAGCTACTAGCAGTAGCTAGAATGGAGAGACTATGTGTCCTGCAGAGCCTATGGGGAATGACAACTTCAGAGAAATCAAAGAAAGGAAAAATGCAAACAAGATCATCACATATTCATTCATTGATTTAAATTATATACCACCCCCCAATTAGTGGTGAACACTTCTCCAGAACAAGCAAGCAAGCCTGAACCCCCACCCACCAACAGAAAACATACAGCATAACAAAAAACACTAACAAAGAAGAAAGAACCCCAGCAAAGACAAATAACAAATTGACAATATGGTGACCACCAGAACAGAAAAAGAGATGAAGGCATAATGTGTTCCAGAAACTCAATAAATAAATAAACAAATAAATTCTTGAAGGCAGTTTTGAAGAGTTCTGCTTAACTTTTTCTGAACACTCAGAGGAAGGGGGCTGGCATACGTCTCATAGCTGTTTGTTCCATAGAGATGGAGCCACCACCAAGAAAGCCTGGTTCCTTCTTGAGACCTTTCCTGCCTCTCTTGGAGTGGCCACCCTCAGCAGCATGGCCTGGGTGGAACGAATGAGTTGTTTTTCTTATGCATGCAAACCCCCGCTAATCACAGCATGGATTCTTTATTTACCCACGATGAAGGAAAGAAAACCTATGAATCTGATTACATTACACAATCGAACGTCAGCCCATGATAGGCAATGTAAGTAATGCCTGAAGGGCAGAGCCCCCCCCTTCTGCTGTCTTGAACTGCAGCCTAAAATATACCTACATATATAGCCCAGAAGGTTCATAATGAGAAATAATTAAACCACCTACCCCCCATTGTAAATGTGGTTGTCCTGTTAAAACAAGTTAGCAAATGGATAAACTGCAGCCTTTCCATTGAAAGGGTGAGAATTTCTTTTCAGAATTTTTTAAAAAATCTAGAAACACAAAGGCAGCAGCTGGTGCTCCCATCACACAGCTGTTTGCATCACTTAGAGGACATGAAAATCATGTTAATATCAGAGTAAACTGGTTACATCTGTTATTTCTTAATGCAACCCCAAATTCTACCGTTTAATAACAGAGTCTTTCTTTCAATAAATAATAATGCAAGTACTGATTCTGCAGGTTAAACCGCAGAAACCTCTGTGCTGCAGGGTCGGAAGACCAGCAGTCGTAAGATCAAGTCCACGTGACGGAGTGAGCTCCCGTCATTTGTCCCAGCTCTTGCCAACCTAGCAGTTTGAAAGCATGCAAAAATGCAAGTGGATAAATAGGTACCACCTCGGTGGGAAGGTAACGGCGTTCTGTGTCTAGTTGCACTGGCCACGTGACCACAGAAACTCTCTTCGGACAAACACTGGCCTTACGGCTTGGAAACAGGGATGAGCACCACCCCTTAGAGTCGGACACAGCTGAACTACATGTCAAGGGAAATCTTACCTTTACTGATTCTTACATTTCTGAGATTAACCATTCTTATGCTGCAGTGGTGCATTCCTATAACTGCCTACTCAGAGGCAAGCCTCATTGAGGTCAACAGGCCTTAGAACAAAGTAAGTGTGGTGTTTCAGATGCTGTTGCGCAACAGTTTCTACCATCCCCGCCCATCAGTCACACTGGCAGGGGCAGATAAGACATGAAGCATCACGATATCTGAAGGACAGAGCCTTCATGTTCTGTTGGACTGCAGCCTTAAATACACTGACCTAGGTAGGCCAGATGGTATATAATAAGAAATAACTGATCCACCTGCCCCATTGTAAATGTTGCAGCCGTGTTATAGTCCATGAGAGGTCCTCTGAGATGTAAGTACCCAGAAATTTAAAACTACCAACTCTCTCCACTTCCTCACCGTTTATGTACAGTGGTAAATGTACATATCTTTTCCTCCTAAAATCAATTATGAGTTCTTTAGTTTTTTTGATGTTAAGTGTGAGATGATTTTCTTTACACCAAAGTATCAACCTTTGTACTTCCTTTCTATAAGCAGACTCATTGTTCTTATTTATGAACTGGTTCTGACAAGACAGTACAAACACAGTCTACAAAAGCTGATATAAAATTAAACTTGTTGGTTTTAATATCATTTTTTCTTTTGATGCAGCAGACTAACATGGCTATACTCTTTAAAATAATGAAACAAGAATGGAAACATGAATTATCATGCAGATTTAGAAAAAATAACAGGGATAGAACTGAAAAGATTTATGAATAAACACACACAGTTCTGGAATGTATGTTAATTACTAGGCTTGCAGGAAGATCTTTTGAGTTATATTTAAACCTATATGCACGGATATTGACTGCTTGATTGGTCAAAGCAAATTGGCAGGTTTCTGTCCATTCCTCATGGGTAAATAAAGAGCCCCCATCATGATCCTTGTGCATGCACTCTCCCGAGAAGCATCCGTGAGAAAGAGATGGAAATGTACAATGATGCTTACATTACGCAACAGAATTTCAGCCAGTGATAAGAAATTTAAGTGAATTGCACTACTAATTACTGTTCTCCTGAATAGTCTATCTTCATACAAGCTTATCAGGCTCCTTAATGAAAAGATTAGTAGGAGCAGACAGGCTGCTTGACCATTAATAGTTTCTGTGATCCATCCCAGAACATGCCTTTTTGTTAGTAAACCAGGTCTATAAACAGAGA